CGGAAGTTGAGAAAAAAACACCCGATCACCCACGATTCCGCCCCACACGTTCACTTTCCACCGTGACTGAAAGCTTTTTTCCCTCACCAAGTGAGGATTTTCAACAGCATAATTATGTAAATTATGTTGATTGAAAATCCCCTCTCTCGTGAACAGGCTTTCATCGGTCCACATGATTTGAGCCAAAAAGTTTTCATGTCGGTAATACAAAGCCAGAAACTCTTGACAGTAGCGCAGACGCTGCTCTGAATCTCCTGGCTCGAGTTTCTGCACTCTCGTGTAGTGAAACGGGTGGAGAGAATTTTCTCGCAAGATGCGATTCACGGTTGTCTTCGGGCAGTCGATTTGAGCTGCAATCTTCCGACAGCTCGTCGTCGGGTCTTTCTCGACGCACGCCAAAACTTCTTCCTCGACGTCGAACCGAGATTGTCTTCCCCCATCGTGACCTTGTGGCAGAACCATGGTCTCGCGCATGCGAGCATCCACATCCTGGAACACTTGTGGTGTCGGGTGTCGTCGATTGGCGTATTTCATGCGGTACCTCCGCGCGGACTCTGCTCCGTTACACAGGCATGCACCATAAATAAGGTGCATATCCGTGTACTCGTTCGCTGTGTAATTCACCATAACTATCACTTCACGTCTGACTCCGGTGAAAAATCAGACACGAATGATGGACACCACTACCTCTCCGTCCCCAAAACACAAAATTTACCTCTTATTTTCGATATTTATCACTGAAGAAACTTCCAAGAACTCCAGTGTTGACATAAACAAAGGACAAGAGAGGATAAAAATACACAATAACACAGTATTTTTTTTTGCTTTTTCGTTTTATTCCCATCGTCTCTTATTTCCCTTAACTGTCAACATTCGAGATTTCCGAAGGTTATTTCACTGAGAATGAAAAAAATAATCGGTAAATATTTCCATTTTATGTGGGAACGTCATTTATGTTCGATATTCATCGGAATTTTGCGTGATATGAAGAATGGAGAATTGAAGGTTTAATGGACACATTCATATCTTATTTATGGTTAAATGCAACATAGATACTGCGACAGATGCACCAATCGACGACATCCTAAATCAGGTGTGTTCCACCAGAGTGTGGTTGCTCGAATGCACGTCGTGCCACGAGGTCATGTCGGGTGACCTCAAAGTCTGAAGTGAGAGCAAAAAATATTTTTTCTCAATACTCCCCCCCCCATCCCTTTTGGGCACATGATTTGGGCTCAAACTCATCTTTCGAACCCCTCCGCTCACGGTGTAGAAATTTCTACCTCCCAGATACGTGTGGGGTTGGCTTTCACCCCCTCAAAGTCCCTAATTTCCCCAAATCCATGCAAACNAAAAAAAAAAAAAACTCTCAATTTCCTTTTGGAGATATAATTTTGACTCATACTTGTTCCTCAACCCCCTCCCCTCATTCAGTGAAAACATCAACTTCTCCGATTCGAACCAGGGTGGCTTTTACCCCCTCAAAGTGGCCAATTTTCCCAAATCCCCCCAAACCCCCTCCCCTCATTCAGTGAAAATATCGACTTCCCCGATTCGAACCAGGGTGGCTTTTAACCCCTCCAAGTACCGAATTTGCTCAAATCCATGAAAACTGAGAGCAAAAAATGGCAAAAGAAACTCTTAATCCCTTTTTGGAAACAGGATTTGGGCTCAGACTTGTTCCTCAACCCTCTCCCCTTATTCAGTGAAAATATCAACTTCCCCGATTCGAACGGGGGTGGATTTTACCCCTTAGAAGTGCCTAATTTCCCCAAATCCATGCAAACTCAAAGTAAAAAATGGAAAAAGAAAATCCCATTCCCCTTTTGGAGACGGGATTTGGGCTCAGGCTTGGTCCTCAAACCCCTCCCCTCATTTAGTGAAGATTTCGAATCCCCGTTTCAAACGGGGATGGCTTTTACCCCCTCGAAGTGCCCAATTTTCCCAAATCCATGCGAATTGAGAGCACAAAATGGAGAAAGAAAATCCCATTCCCCTTTTGGAGACGGGATTTGGGCTCAGGCTTGGTCCTCAAACCCCTCCCCTCAAGAAAGAAAAAAAAATTTTGTCAATTTAAAAAAAAACTTCGCCCATGAAATCAGTAGAAAACCCCCGAAATAAAAAAAAGGTCAGACCAAAAAAAAATAAGCTCAGATCTAAAAACGGAAGAGGAACTTTCCACTTCAAAAAGCTCCTTCTTCAATACCCTTTCAGGAAAAGGAGCGGTTGCGGGACACCCTGTATAGTCCGAAAATAATACTTTGATTAACTCGACCACAGGTGAGGTCATCAAATCCCTCACACAATAATATAAAAAAAATTATCGATTAATCCCGAAATACTCGAGAATGTCTAGAAATGAAGGGAAAGGTATGCAAATCCTCGTGAGAGTGAGAGAGCGAGAAAATGAACTCACCAGTGCATGCATAGTGTACGGCGGAAGGAAATAAAAATTAGCTAAAACTAAACTCGCCGTAGCGGAAAATCGGAAGAATCAATTTTCAAAAACCCAGAGCCAATTTGCTCGGGAAGGTCTAGCGAAGCCCACGAAACCAAAATTGTAATTTTTGGATCATTGGTAACGTTTCCGGATTAATTTACCTCCGGAGGGAATTTTAAACGACGGAACACTTACGGGAAGCGAGAACCACCACTCGTAGGTGCGTCAGCGGGGTGCCGCGAGGGGAAAAACTCTACGCAATTTTTACGTAGGATGAAATAGAGATACTTCTCGCCCTAGGAGCGAGGGAGAACGAAATAGCCCAAGTCGAAAACCGTCAGATTTCGACTGGGGAAATACGCAGGAATTTCACTACCTGCCAAACCCACTCACTGAACCCGAAGATCATCTCAAAAGATGACCGGGATAATCCGGAAGGCGCGAAAACTCTTTACCGACCCGATTTGGGTGGAATCGCCGATCCAAAAATCGGAAGGACACACGGATTGCAATCCGGGATAAGGGATAATGCCCAAAAACAAAAAAAAAATGCCAGATCAGAACCACTAAGTACCGCAAAAGGGGTGATCAACCACTGCACGTGGCTGAGGGCCACGCGAGGGATACCGCCATAAAGGGGAAAACGACGCCATCCAGAAATGGCTCGAAATTAAGGGAAAAATTCCAGAAAACTCACTGTTTTTTTATGTTTAACGGTCCTTTTCCCTTTTCGGACCATCCTGGATCCTTGCAGCTTCACAATAATCACACAATAATCCAGATTGCGCAGTTACGTTGTGTGGGCAAACAGAAGTTCACATGCGGCTACTTATTGAGGACGGTCAAGTCGGAACTGATTTCGGAGGTCAGTGCTGCGGCATACCGGGCCCTCGGGACTTCCGACCAACTACGCTGAGCGCTCATTGGTGGAGATAGTTTCTCCACAACGTCGTAACCTCTGGGGGAGCCACCGAATCAATTCGGCGATTTTCGAATGCGTAAATTCAAATAAAAAAAATAAAATCAAATTAATTCCTAACAATTGTTTTTAGAGCGAACGGAGGCTCTATCGATTCTAAAAATTTAAGATGCATCTCACGCATCAAATCTCCGGGAATTACGAGGCAAAATTAATAATGAATTACTAATAGGTATTTCACACAAAAAAAATAGAATAAACGTTTCCGCCGAAACTCTACGGCAACCTGGCAATTCACCGGGATTAAGGGTTGCGCTTACCCCAAGTGACCTTCCAACAAAACTCAAAAAAAGACCCATTTTATCCCGTAATACCCAACTAAAATTCTGGACCGCTAATATTTCAATTAATCCTATATGATTTCCGCGAGAGTTATAAAAGGGTTATTTCCACAAAAAGACCGGATGACTCTAAATATGGCCCTTCTTCTCGATCAAATTATGGGCCCTCAAAAATTATTTATCGCTCATGAACTAATCAACAATTACCACACCGGAGTGGGAAAATAATAAACCGAAAATTCTCCATCAGATTGGGAAAACGAAACTCAAAAAGTCTCCGTCGGAATGGGAAAACTAAACTCGAAAATTCTCCATCGGAATGGGAAAGCTAAACTCAAGAATTCTCCATCGGGATGGGAAAACTAAACTCAAAAATCCTCCATCGGAATGGGAAATTGACGCTCAAAAACTCCACCGGAGTGGGAAACAAAAATCTCTCTCTCTCTCTCACTCTAATTAATTGGTCACGGATAGACTTTTCCTGTCGTGGGGTAGTTGTGTTCAGGTCTCGGTGGTGTTCCTAACGGACATTCCCACATGTTCGTTACACCCCCCTCCTTTGACTGTCCTTATCCGGGTGTGCCTTGCTCTCGATGGACCTGTGGCTGGGTAGATGATGGGGGCGTCCTTCTCTGCTCGTTCCTGGACTGTTGAGGGTACTCGAACCCACACCCTGAGGTAGTGGGTCAGAAAACAAACTCTCAAAAATATGAGGACTTAATAACTGTATATTTCAGACATTGTCTCCTCTCCACTCTTATCAGGTTGAGTGGGATTTATATTACATTATGTACACAAAAATATAAAAGTTTCTCTGGAGTGACGAGTTGTTCCCGTACTCGCTCTCCACCGTACCTGACGGGGGTTATCTTAAAACTAAATACTAAATATTTGTGAGTATTATCACAGAGCCAAACAAAAAAAAGACACAAAACGATTTCGGGCCCTGAAGCTGGCCCTTCGAGAAAAAAAATGATATAAACAAAAGAAATGAGTCTGGTATCTTTGGGAGGACTTTTTTGACGGTCTGCCGTCCTAATATAATAACAACAAAAAATTTATTTTGGCTTTTATCGTGCCATAAAAAACTTCGGCTTTTCTTGGCCTTTTTGTCCTTGGACTTCAGGTTTCTTGGGAACGGCAACTGACTCAGTGTAAGACTGGAGTCGTCGATTACCACAGCTTAAGAACGGAGAGGATACCTGGTGCCCCAGACTTTGGCAGGGGGTTCTCCTGGAGGCCGAGAAGGCTGCTGTGCTGGGGCCTGTTGGGCGGCTGCCTGTTGCTGCAGACTAACGAGCTACTGGAGGAGGGACATCATCTCCGATGTGACGGCCGGCATGGTTTGGCTCGGTGTTGAAGGCAGCGGGGTAGCTGTTGGTGGTGCCGATGGAGGCACGTATGAGTGCGAGGCCCACACTGATGAAGTTGGGGCTTGAGGAGCTGCAGCCGTGTAGTACCCCTGTTGAGGATTCGTGGTTGTAGCCCAGGGATTGACGGTGGCGGTTGGCGGGCTGGGTGCCTCTGGTGTCCAAAAGAACCTGAGATCTGAGTTGGGGGCTGGTTGCACCCTCTGATACTCTCCTGTGGACGGGGTAGACTGCTCAGCTCGAGTGGTGGTAGGGACGGACGGCTGTGTGGCTGGCACTGAATTGGTCTGGCTTCTGCCCTGCTGATGGCGCGTTCTCTCTGCGCTGTGGGGCCCGGCTCGTGACCGGCCCGATTTCTGATCCCCTTGTTTTGGAGGAGTTCCCTTGGCGGTGCGCTGAGCTTGCCCAGTAGGAGTCCTGAAGATTTTTGGGCTGACCGAGTTTTCGCCTGCATGGAGAGTGGAGCGACCACCCGCTGGGTACTCGACGAGGCCGTGCGTGGGACAAATGTTTGTGTGCATCAAGCGGAACGGGCATTGTCCGCAAAAGGGGTCCCCTGTGGGCTGCGGGCAGTGGGGGAACGCGTGACCACGCTCGTGGCAGTCAAAGCACCATGGCTTGATGCGTCGTCGTTTACCCCCAGTCGGAGCTCCCTACGGTAGTTGACCTCTTTTGAAGCCTACGGGGTCGGGGNCCCTTAATCTCAATTAGGAGGGGTGAGGTGAATTTTTAATTACCGGGAGTCACTGTGCGCCGCAAAACAATTATTTTTCATACTGCGCTGTGATTTCCATGACAACTTCTTCCATTTTTTACAGAGATTAAGGGATGAAAGAGNAGGATTGACTAAAGTAGAGGCTCAGATCTCGGGGTTGGAGTGACCCCAAGCCAAAAAGAGTTCGACCGCAACGGAGGGATGGCGCCACGGTCGAATCTGGCGGCTGGGCGAACTGCCTGTACGGGTAACTCGGCAGCAGTGTTACCAGATCGTGACGTCACCCCATTTAAAATTGTACAAGTTTTGGCTATAAATCGCCAAAATCTGGCAACCTTGCTCGGCAGTAGCAGTCCCGCTGTCACAGGGATAGTTTCGGAGGGGAACTTATGCCCTCCTCGTCTTCAACATGTTCTTAATGTTTTTCAGGAGACTCATTTGCTGGCTAATGAATATTAAGGAATGAAACACAGAGGGTGTGATGGAGAATTAAATTCCCCATCAATCGATCCCCGTTGCATCCCTAAATTTCTGTAACAAAAAAATACAAACTACGGCAAAGTCATGGGCCAGTGAGGAAAATAATTTTCTTTTCGGCGCACAGTGCCTTTTCACCATTCGCCCACGATTTAAAAATTTGTCTCTCCCCTCCTGATTTAGATTAAAGGATGAAAAAAGAGTAGTTCGATGGAGCATTGAATTCCCCATCAATCGATCGTCGTTGCATCCCTTAATCTCCGTAACAAAAAAATACAAACTACGACAAAAGTCATGGGCCAGTGAGAAAAATTGCAGTTTCGCGGCGCAGTGACTCCCGGTAATTAAAAATTCACCTCTCCCCTCCTAATTGAGATTACGGGATGAAAAAAGGGCAGTTCGACGGAGAATTAAATTCTCCATTAATTAACTCTCTTTCATCCGTTAATCTTGGTAACAAAAAAAAACTGCCATGAAAGTCAGGGGCCAGTAAGAAAAATAATTGTTTCGCGGCGCACAGTGACTTTTCACCATTTTTCACGCCCGCCAATTGAAAATTCACTTCTCCCCTCCTAATTGAGATTAAGGGATGAAAAGGGGCAGTTCAACGGAGAATTAAATTCTCCATTAATTAACCCTCTCTCATCCCTTAATCTCAATTAGGAGGGGAGAAGTGAATTTTCAATTGGCGGGCGTGAAAAATGGTGAAAAGTCACTGTGCGCCGCGAAACAATTATTTTTCTTACTGGCCCCTGACTTTCATGGCAGTTGTTAATTTTTTGTTACAAAGATGAAGGGATGAAAGAGGGTTAATTAATGGAGAATTTAATTCTCCATCGACCTTCTTTTTATTCATCCCTTAATCTCTGTAACAAAAAATTAACAACTGCCATGAAAGTCAGGGGCCAGTAAGAAAAATAATTGTTTGTTACAGAGATTAAGGGATGAAAAGGGGCCGTTCAACGGAGAATTAAATTCTCCATTAATTAACCCTCTCTCATCCCTTAATCTCTGTAACAAAAAATTAACAACTGCCATGAAAGTCAGGGGCCAGTAAGAAAAATAATTGTTTCGCGGCGCACAGTGACTCCCGGTAATTAAAAATTCACCTCTCCCCTCCTACTTAATTTAGGAATGAAAAAATGGCAGTTCGACGGAGAATTAAATTCTCCATTAATTAACCCTCTCTCATCCCTTAATCTCTGTAACAAAAAATTAACAACTGCCATGAAAGTCAGGGGCCAGTAAGAAAAATAATTGTTTCGCGGCGCACAGTGACTCCCGGTAATTAAAAATTCACCTCTCCCCTCCTACTTAATTTAGGAATGAAAAAATGGCAGTTCGACGGAGAATTAAATTTCCCGTCAACTAATGCTCTTTCATCCCTTAATCTCTGTAACAAAAAATTAAGAACTGCCATGAACGTCAGGGGCCAGTAAGAAAAATGATTTTTTCGCGGCGCACACTGAATTTTCACCATTCGCCCGGGAATAAAAAATTCATGTCTCCCCTCCTAATTAAATTCTCCATTAATTAACCCTCTTTCATCCCTTAATCTTTGTAACAAAAAAAAAACTGCCATGAAAGTCAGGGCCTAGTAAGAAAAATAATTGTTTCGCGGCACACAGTGACTCCCAGTAATTAAAAATTCACCTCTCCCCTCCTAATTAAATTCTCCATTAATTAACCCTCTTTCATCCCTTAATCTTTGTAACAAAAAAAAAACTGCCATGAAAGTCAGGGCCTAGTAAGAAAAATAATTGTTTCGCGGCACACAGTGACTCCCAGTAATTAAAAATTCACCTCTCCCCTCCTAATTGTGATTAAGGGATGAAAACAAAGCACTTCGACGGAGAATTAAATTCTCCATTAATTAACCCTCTTTCATCCATTAATTTCGGTAACAAAAAATGAAAAACTGCCATGAAAGTCAGGGGCAANTAATTAAAAATTCACCTCTCCCCTCCTAATTGTGATTAAGGGATGAAAACAAAGCACTTCGACGGAGAATTAAATTCTCCATTAATTAACCCTCTTTCATCCATTAATTTCGGTAACAAAAAATGAAAAACTGCCATGAAAGTCAGGGGCAAGTGAGAAAAATAATTTTTTCGCGGCGCACACTGACTATTCACCATTCGCCCGCGAATTAAAAATTCACTTCTCCTCTCCTGATTGAGATTAAGGGATGAAAGAGGGTTAATTAATGGAGAATTTAATTCTCCGTCGAACTGCCCTTTTTCATCCCTTAATCTCAATTAGGAGG